CTTATCAAAATGTATTGTTTATTTTGTCGCAGGCAGCAGAGGGAGGATTCACAGATGTTTGCAAATCTCTACTAGAAGCTCAACCGTCTCTTTTGGAAATTGAAGACAAACGCAGGAAGCTTGCTTGGCAATATGCAAGTGATGTTATCTTAAGAGATCTTTTACATGTGCAATAAAATGCGACCCCTTATGCTTGATATTCAACATAAGCAATAGGTTTTCAAATTTTTATACTACTGTACCCACAACCAACCATGCAGATACTTCCTTTCATGACCAACAACTAAGCTACCCCCAAGCCGGGCACTCGCTGTGAAGGACGTAACGCCACGAAGAGGGCACAACGAAGCGTTTCTTATGACGATCTGTTAAGACTGCCACCATTAATCAGCTTGTGGCATTATCTCATAGAACTATTAAACAACTAGAGTGCTGACAAGATGGCGCAGCAATGCAGAGTTTTGTATGTGTACCATCCAAGATGGCCGTCATAGTAAAGCGCCAAATTCAGGCTTAGTATACATATTACATATTAATAAGCCCTCTGACTGACTATTATTTCATTAATGATAATGAGTATTGGTAATAACAAATTATTAAAATATTGTAGCAAAAACGAGGACCAAGTGGAGCATCTTATTCAAAAATAAAGTACTAAGGAATGAAAATTAAAATCGTGTACATTACACCCAAACACCGCAACGCTCGAGTTTCAAACATACGGGTAACTAACTGTACTGAACTTTCTGCGTAAATTGAGGGCGCAATTGCAAACGATTTTCCAGAGCCGTAGATAGAGCATAGAGCTATTAAACAACTAGAGTGCTGGCAAGATGGCGCAGCAATGCAGAGTTATGTATGTGTACCATCCAAGATGGCCGTCGTAGTAAAGCGCCACCTTCAGGCTTAGTATACATATTATTACATATTAATAAGCCCTCTGACTGACTATTATTCATTAATGATAATGAGTAATGGTAATAACAAATTATTAAACTATTGTAGCCAAAACGAGGCCAAGTGAAGCATCTTATTCAAAAATAAAGTACCAAGGAATGAAAATTAAAATCGTATACATTACACCCAAACACCACAACGCTCGAGTTTCAAACATACAGGTAACTAGCTGTACTGAACTTTCTGAGTAAATTGAGGGCGCATTTGCAAACGATGGCGCTTAGCGAAATTTGATTGGCTAAATCTATGGTAGCCATCTTGGATCTACTGTATAATCATATTTACCTAACTTTGGAATTAATTAATCAGTGACGTGCTGTATTATTTCGAGAAGATAAAGTGAGGACGATTCTTTATTTATTTTTTTTTCGTTACGATTATCTTTTTGTTTTGGAAGTCTGTCATCTAGGCCTATGCCTACCTAGTTGCTAGCAGCCTCCTCTATAGAATGAGGCTCCTAAAAGTCAATACTGAAGAGGAGAAAGGTTGGTTGTGCAGACAGAGTAGGTTTGTGAATCGTCGGCGATAATATGTTAATTTCGCCTGTAAATGAATGATAAAAATATTAATAACACGAAAGTTTTATAATTGTATCTAGGCCTTTAGGCCTATGACTTCGTAAACTTTAATTTATGAAATAATATGCTGGTCATCTTCAAACCAATACAAATAGCCTAGGCCTATTTGTAAATTGTAATCTAAACAATAAATCAAAGTTGAAGAATTATTGCATTGATAGACATTTTTGTACAACATATGCCTAATCATTCATAATCAAGAAGCCAGGCCTTGTAAGTAAAATAGCAGCATTCCTCACACTTTGTTTATAATATTAGTGAGTTATAATATTATCATTATTACTGTATTATTATTTATTATTATTATTATTATTATTATTATTATTTATTATTATTATTTATTACTATTCATTGAAATTTTGATTTGTAATTTGTAAAACATTTAAAAGTTTTGATTTAAAATATGTATTAAAACAATCAATATATTATTATTACATTACAATTAGGCCTATATCTTTAAAATATATTTTTATCTTTAAAATCTTTAGTTGCACAATTAATTGATTTGTTAAAGCACAATTGGGCATGTTTGCATAGCACAGGACTCCTTGGACAAGTTTTCGCTTGTATTGGAGGATTCAATTTTTATTTTTAATTATAATTTAAGCTACCTTTGACTGATTCTTCATGTAGCTTTCTGGAAATTTAGTTATATAATTTAACAGCAAAGTGCAACATTGCATCTTTTTATAAATCATTGCTGCTTGAAAATCCTTCCTTTTTTTTTTTTATTATCTTCGTAATTAAGCCGATTTAAGTACTACCTTAAGGTGTTCGGCCGAAGAAGTACCGAAATTTAGGCCTGTCTAGGCCTAGTAGTAGTAGTAGGTGGATATATATTACGCGAAGTGGGGCGGGCGGCGGTACATGCCTTATAATTTACTACTCCGTGGATAGCGAGATTTTTCGATCGCCATGCAAAGTTAAAATAAAATCCCAAATCCTCCTCCTTTTTGGAATTTTAAGGAAATTAATACATTCTTGTTTCTTTGTTGGATCGATTGCAGCAACCCCAAACCCAACATAACGGTATTTCACATTATAATTATAGCATTAATCATCTATAATAATTACTGCTAACTTCCTTCCCTATCGCGTTGTTTTGTTTTGGTGACAACATGGCCGCCGGTGTAAGTCACGTGATTGAAACCGAGTTGGCCAAACTCTCTCTATCTACGGCTTTGCGATTTTCCCCCTACGAAACTATACTTGATTACAGACTAGTGGTAGATGCTAAATACAACGGGTGTGTTTTTCTTTCCAAAAATTAGGATGCCTGAAATATTATCAATTCATTGGGCCTACACAGAG